TACTTGGATAAGAAGTGAGAGCAGAAGGGAATTCCTGGCTTGACTTTGTTGCTTGAGATTTTGAATCTTCCAAACTTATGAGTACTATGAACAATGGCTTATTCTTCTTGATCATGTAATTTTGTTGAATACAATTTTAAAATATTTTCAGTGTGAGCTCTACTAGCCTCATATTAAATAGTCTGTGTGGAAGGTGGAAATAGAATAATGAAATGACAGAATTATGTCATCTCATTCAACTTCTTCCTATTGCGCTAAAAGAAGTTACATTCCAAGAAACTTGAAACTACATGTCTAGTGTAATATAGTCAATTGACAGATATTTGTTGATTACTTAAACTGGAAACTACATGCTTTTTGTTTCCCTAGTGATGAATTAAAATCTTTCATTTGCATATTAGCCATTGAGAGGCTAATAGGAGAAGTGAAAAGAAACTATTCAGATAGTTTTAGACCATATTTTAGATAGTACTTACTATGATAGGAATATTGTATGTATTTGTCTATGTGTATATATAATCACATTATTTTTTATAATTAATATCTATTGTGCATTACTTCTTAATGCTGTGAACCATTCCTGACAAATGTGCAGTAGTGACATCTTTTCTAGCCTTTCTTATTTCAATCAGCTCTGCTTTGACATTGCTCAGTTGTTTCTGGTATTCATTTACATAACTACTCATTCAGCAAGCACACGTCAAGTGTCTTACCTATGCCAATATGATAAGATAACCAAGGTATCTGTTTTGGAGAAACTTTCAGGATGGTTAAGGTGGTTAGAAAACAGAGTGGATAAACTGAAGGATAAACACAGACTTACCAACAAAGCCAATACCTTAATATTAAGTTACAGTGAGTTATGGGTAACAGTGAAACAAATATAGACACATTCATATAGGAAGAGGCTGTAGACAGAAGACAGAAGTGGACACTGACTACTGTGGTATAAATACTCAAAATTTAGAATCTAGGAAAATGGAAACAAATGAGAAAGAATGCTTTACACTAAGTATGAAGAAATTCTGGAAATGTACTTATGAAAAACCCAATTTAAAACTAGTTTTTATTAAGAGGAAGTGATAACTACAGCTTTCAGAGATTCTAAAATGGTAAGTACAGAGAATAAAGCATTAATAATACACTCAGTTTCATATGGAAGGTGTGGATGGTGTATGGACAGAGGCCTCTTACTAGACCCAAAAGGGACTGTAATTTTGTTTTATGTCAGGTTGATAGCAGTGGAAAAGGTTGTTTTGAGCTATGTGATAAGGGTGTTCCTTATTTTAAGATCAACTTGAGAGATGAAAGGAATATAGGAATCACAGAAGGCTTGTAGGTTCTTGCCTGAGCAGGTATGCCAATGGAGATACTATTTGTTGAGATACAGAATGCTAAAAGAGGATAAGATACATTTGGGGGTAAGATGAAACCAAGGACACAATGAAGAATTCAGTGTGGCACATACTAAGTTTGTCTACAAATATCCACGTGGAAATGTAAAGTAAATGTAAACACTATGATCTGAAGTTCAGAGAACCGACAAGTTTTGGAAATTGGAGTTTGGGAATCATCAAGACTATTCTGTTCTATAGTTGTAAAGTTGAAGCTGCATTTGGGAGGGTAGATGGAGGACTATTTTAATATGGATCATTTTATAGTATGCTCAAATTGTACAGATGACACAACAGGAAGGACAAACAAAGATGGTGTCCAAGGATATTCTGAATAGAATTGAAGCAATAGAAGTTGCTTGAACTGGGATTTGGAAGGCCGTTGTCTAATGATGACTAAAGTATGACCGTGGGAACTGTGTAGAGAGAAATATTAGAAACGAGCATGTAATGGACTAAGGGGTTGGGTGTTAGTGGGTCATCTACACTGACAATGAAATTATCCAGAAAGAGGACAAGAAAGTCCTTCTATTATTGGTAGTAGATGAAGGTGAATGCAGTGGATATTTATGACTCCATAGTCTGATGACATGTGTAGAGAGAGCACGAGCACAAAGCAGCAAGATGAGCACAAAGTAATTCAGCTAGTATCTGCAATACAATGCAAATTGGAGCTCCTGGATGCTGGAACCAAAAGTTTGGACCCCAACAAATTCTCCAATGGAATTGTTCTCAGCTCCGGACATGTAATACAGCCCTCTTGGCCAAGCCTGTGATGAATGTCGTTACATGAGAGTTTCATGATTCCTGACATTTCTGTGAGATGATGTGGAAGGGAACAGTTGGGTTGAGTTTGCCCAAACTAAAAACTCAACTAGAGTCACTGTGTAAACCAATTGTTTTCTCCTTTTGATTGTCTCCAACATTCTGAAAATTTGGTCGTATTTTGGTACATTTGTGTTCTCTTTTTTTTTCAATTTATTAGCTTTCTGTTTGCACAAAGTGAAGATATGGCACATAGAGTTTTGCACCTTTAAAAAAATTAAGCATGATGTAAACAACCATCCACATTTGTGGGTGTCTTTATACATGCAGGAGAACATGACAAGGACTTTAAAGTAGAAGGATATGGGGAAAGAAACAACTGGATATTTCAGGTTTGGGGGACAACACAATCCAGGCTTGGACTTCCTTCTACAGTCAACTGAAACTGGCCAGCACTGGGTTTCAAATGTTCCTGGAAACAAAGGGGTTCCCTAGAGGAGGCAGCAGGGCTCATGCAACACACCATCTGCCCTAGCTACCATGGGACAATTTAAGGCTATTATTCAATTGGTTTATGTCCTTATCTAAAGAGGTGCTCTGAGGGCTCAGTTGAATAGATGGCAAAGATGGCCATTCAAATAGCACTTGGGTACTAACTAGAAGTGCCCATTAAGGTGCCCATTAAGGTGCCCATTAAGGTATAGTGAACAAGAGACTTCCTTTGCTATGTCCTGACCCCTGCCTGTAGCAAGGTTTCCACTTTCTTTGGCAGTCTTTTTCCCTAATCTGTAGGAAGTGCAGCCAACATGGCAGAGAGCCAGTCTTTAAAGGTTGAGTGAAGCTGGTGGCTGAGGTAGAATTTTCTGATATAGGGTGGAAGTTTGGGACATAAAATTAAAATGATATTTCTATCTAAAATGAAGCAATACTTCCAGTGCTTCCCAAAAAGCAGTGGCTTGATTGGCATGTGACATCTCAGCTCAGAACACAGCCAGCTGCTTGGTAGCTCCTGCTCCTCCATGCAGAATCTCCACAGTACCTAGGGACACCCCTCCAGCTGAGACCAGGAAAGGGATTGTGCAATTTGAGGGACCTTCTTGGTTTGTGACACATCTGTTGTTAAAGCTTTCCGATTCTCCAATAAATGTCACATCTCAGGATGTCCTTGAGCAGAATTTTGGAATTTTAATTCTTGTGAAATTTTGCACTGTTGAAGTGAAAGACCCCCAGAGGCTCAGACCCCCAGGACCTTGTCCCAGGACTGCGGTGACCCCAATCACCAGGTGGAGGTGAAAACTTGATGCAAACAGCATGAAGCTTTATTGCAGTTGATTAATGAGCTAACCCATGGGCCTTTCATCCACCCACCATGACAGATGGCAGGGGAAAGACTCTGAGAAGCCACAAGACCGAGATCTTATAGGGCAGTGTAAGGGGAGGGTCTAGGGGTACTCACAGGCTCAGGATTGGTGTGCCTCCAGGCTTGCCCTGTGTTGATTAGTCAACTGGTTGTTATGGCCCATAGGCCCTCCCAGGATGATTGCTATGCTCTGCACGTCATTGCTGTGCAGTTGTCCGTAAAGCACACCCAGAGCTGTAAAGCATAGCACCACCAGCTAACTTCTGATTGGTTCCTTGCCATGAGGCAGGCATCTGACCTCCTAGTGACCAAGGCAAGGTCAGGCAAGGTTAGGCTGTTATGGCTGCCTAAATGGGGAGCTGGTCCCTTCAGAAGCTGATACCCTGGTGCTCCCTCATAACCACAGGATTCGAGGTGCTGCCAAAGACTACTTTTCCTTTACATCGGAAAGAGTCAAAACCTGTGGTAAATCAAATAATTACAATTTTAGTGCATGCCAGCCATGGGGTTACTTTCTCTAATGTTCTCAAATCTGGTATACCAGATAATCACATAGTTTGAAATACAGTCTGAATTACTGTCTTGAATTACTGTCATTTTTTTTTAATTTGCTACACAGGATACCCTAAAGTTTACACTCCTGAATAAAATGTCCACCTTGGGGGCCTTATTTTTAACTATTTCAAATTTCTTGGTCTTTAGATTTAGAATATAAAGTTAATAATTATAAGTATCAGTCATTTTTACAGTAAATTTACAACTGTACTAGCAAATGTACTTTACCTGAGTGGCACAATTTAAATTGCACGTAAGAGCAATGTTACTGACAATTACATATAGAGTGCTTGTCTAGACTTAACAGAGATACTTGCAGTGAGTCTGAATGTTTGCCTTTATCAGACTCCCATTGCAAAGGGCAGCTTATTTGTCAGGTGATTAGTGATCATGAACCAATACTAGGATGCTAGGAATACTGCTGAGGCCTGATCTTCAGCCATTTCTCTGAATTTGAAGACCCATCTAATGCTAATTAAAACATACGTTACGGCAATGACTTAGGCAGAAAGGGTGGGCATGAATCTGACTTTTGCTAGCACAGATTAACATGTTTTTAACACATAGTATGTGCTCAAAGCTCAAAGACTAGCATGACATAAGTAAGGTTGGTGTCAACATTCTATTTCTCTGTTCTCTATTCACATCTCAGAACACAACATTGAATCCATCAGTGTGGATGTGGCCTTGTGACTAGCAATGCCAAGTCAACTCCTGCTCTGACTATTCATAGCGAGGAATCTCCTTTGCCAAAATCACCAGGAATTCTGCTTGGATAGGTGAGCCTGTCTCAGTGGGACAGTGATTCTGGATGACTCCATTACTTCTAAGAATCCCCTCTCAGGCTGGGCCAAGCCGCAGCTCTGAACTCGTTGTGGTTGATTTGTCTGCCTATGTGGTTTCAGTCAGGTTGCAGAATCACCCTCATGATGATGGAGAAATCAAAAGGATCTGAGACACCCAGAGCAGGTCTGGAAAAGAGCAAGAGAGAGATCCTGAGGAATACCAAGAAGGCATGGACACCTTTGGATGGGCATCCACTTCCTGGCTCTGAGGAGGAAAGCACAATGGCCACTGTGCACATGCAAGGTAAAAGGGGCCTTCCAGACGTCTAGAAAATGTCCCGCCATGGGTGGTGAGGGGTGTGAGACTTTCGGTTGGGGGCAAGCGACTTCTAAGGATTTGAACTTGGCATTAAAGAAACAAGTGTTCCTGATACAATGCCGAGCAGTTCTATGAAATGGACACATCTGACCCCCCCCCACACACACACACACACACACAGGACCTCAGCAAATTAGACCAAATAAGGGATAAACACTGTTCCTTTCTATCCCATCACCCTCATGGTAAGCCCCAGGATTCTGAAGCTGCATCCAGGCAGCAACCATAAAGCTTGTCCCTCCTGCTCCTCCTCCTCTTTCTCTTCTTCTCTGTGCACTTGTGTGAGAGAGACAGAGAGATAAAGAGGTGGTCAAACATTGAACCTAGAGCCACGTGCAATTCAGTTAGACTGGGCGCCTGTGAGCTCAAGGGATCTGTGTTGTACTTGTACAGCTATGTCCTGCTATTTTGTGGGTGCTGGGGTTCCAGATTGTGCTTCTTTATGTTTGCTCAACAAGTGTGCTTAACCCACAACCCATCTCCCCATCTCCCAACAAACCTTGTTTCAGAACACCATTTTATTGAAAGTTTTTTGGGGTCTTCTGTGAGGCAGTGATGATCATTTTAATAACATACAGAGTAATAAATATGAAAACATTGGCATTCTGTCCAACCATGGTACCACAAATGAACACTACGCAGAATCTCCCAGGGCTACTGGCTGTTTTGTTTCACCTGATACCCTGTGTGAGGATTATTCAAATATCTCATGAACAAAGTCAGACTGAGCCCAGGGTATGAGGTGGTAGCCAACAGGAACTGGAGCAAAGGTCTCTCAGGAGTTGCTCCCTTCTTCTTTCCTTTTTCATTACCTGTTTTTGAGCCAGTGCTAAAGATCCACCTTAAAAGGCTGGTGTCTTTTTAGCACAGGTTGCCTTTGGCAATCCTGGGACTCCACTGCAATTTGTCCCTGGAATGAATGCAAATCTGGTTTCTAACCTGGCAGAGAACTCTTTGCAAATAAACACTGCTGGCTAGCTGCCTTAGGTAAATGTTGGGATTTAATAAGAGAGGTTCCGTGGTGATTTAGAACCAACAAGAGAGAAACAAAAATCTCTTCTGCTTTTCTACCCATTGTATTTATGCTAGGTAATTTTTATAATCATTCTAACACCCCTCACCCTTCATGGATTCATTTTGCTAGTCCTTAACATTTTGTCCCTTTTTTCTTAAGTTATAGTCTTTTGGCAAGTTTACATCCATTCTTGGAAGAGGCTGATTATGGAAAACAGGAGGTTGTGCCTCCAGGGGAAAAATAAATATGCTTACAAGAACATGTGACTAACTATGTAGGAAACAGAGCTGCTGAGTATGGCTGATGATAGAGGGGGTCATTGTAGCTGGTTGTTCTTTGACTAACAGATATTGTTTTCCTTTATAGAAAATTCCAAACAGGAAAGTATCCAGCAGTGGCTGGACTCTGGATTCTTGTAAGTGGTGTTTTATTTTTTTTTTTTGTATGTGTGTGTGTGTGTGTGTGTGTGTGTGTGTGTGTGTGTGTGTGTGCCTTATACATTTCTCTTGCAAAGCTCCATGAAAATAATGTGGGTTATAACCCTCCCAGGAATGGGCTCCTGGCCATGGGTACCAGGATGCCAGAAGTATGGGTTTTCATATTAACTGGGTACTTGAAGGATTACTATATTACTGCAAAAGCTATATGTCAATTTAAAACCACAAAAAAATAGAATGAATGCTATTTGGAGCCAACTGTGTGTTCACTTTTGAAAATCTTCTCAATAAAACCTAAGTCTGATTTTCTGTTCAGTTTAATTACAAAAGCAACTTGGTAATAATTTATTTACATACAGTGTTGGGCTTACAGTGCTTTTGCTTCTTTTATAGTGTCTCTGTAAATGAAAACTTCCAGCAAGCCATCAACCATTCTGGTAAGGCAAGAAAACCCAGAGCAGCTGTGCTTCGTAGAGCTGAGTAGATGTATGTGTGAAAAACATCCATACTAATGTATCTTCCTCGGGGGAGACATAGAAGAGGCTTTCAGAAATAAGTTGATCTTCTCATTTGATTTTATAAGACTAGGTCTCAGAAAGTGCAGCCATGACCCCAGCAGCAGGTTATGGGCTGAAACCAGGGTCCTTGCTACCACCACTCAGACGTAGGAAGAAACTCTCTGGGTCTTTGCAGACATTTGCAAGGATGTAATTATGAAAACAAAATTGCTTAATTATTCATAATATACCATAGTTTTACTTCTAAACCTATTTTCTCTCTGGTATTTTGGTATCAAAATTATATTTCTATCTCTTCCCTAATGATATATTTATCCTAGAGAAGAGCAAATGACTAAATCCTAAACCAAACAGCACAAATATTTCTGAGACAGAAAATGTATCAGACTGTCTCCCTAGGATTTGGTAATAACGTTATTAAAATAATGAGTACAGGTCTCATGGATTCCATCTTCATTAAATGAAAATGCCAGACTTTGTGGGATCTAAGATTCTGCCATTAAAAATGTGCTTATTTTATAAATGCCTCTCTGATGGATCAGATGAAACCTTGTCACTAAAAATAAAAGTCAGCATAGACTCCAAGACTAGATCATAGGTGTTAAAGTAAATAACATTCTAGAATTGAGCAAATGCTTAAAGACTATGTCAGATTTGAGATAAACTAGGAACATAATGATTAGAGGGAAATTTGTTATTCTTCATTATTTCACATCCTCCACTGCAACTTCAATTAGGATTGGCTACTACTTGACAAGCAATTTAACCTGGTCATTTTACTTTAAAAGTTTAAACTGAAACTATATATGAAATTTCCTTATTCACTGGGTTGCTTTATATTTTAAATTTAGTTTTTATTATTTGACAGTGTCATCATATATGCAATGAATTTTAGTCATCATCACCTCCTATTATTGCCAGTCTCTCCTTTGTCATCTCCCCCTTTTGCCCAGAAAGCCCCCTCCTATTTTCATGGTATGCATGTGTTCTACTGAGTTTAGTTAGGGTTGCTCACATAAGCTTGGGTGAAAGGTCGTTTACTGGATCATATCCAACCAGTCAGCGACTACAGGACTGAAGAAAGTGATGGTCTTCCCTAAGTACCATTAAGTGTCAGGAAGAGTTGGGCCATGTGAGCCATTTCCTCTTCCATGATAAAATATTGACAGGCCCACTCATATTCAGGTCTCTATATCTGAAGTGGACTCGCTGAGCGCGAGGCCAAACCATTCCGAGTGAAGTGTTTTCACAACACACCTCACCATACTCTAGCCCTTCCAGTCTTTCCATCCTTCTTTCTAGATAGACCTTCAGAACGTTGTGGATGACCCACTTTGAGCTAAGAACTCCACTGTTCTTTACTCTCCACACTGACTAGTTATGTGTGTCTGCATTTGCTGCTGAAGGCTGTGATAAGACACTTCTCTGATGACGGATAAGGAAAGCATCTATGGTTAGAAACATGAGGGTTTAGAAGGCAGTGAGACCATATTTCATTAAAAATGCTTTATTTTTAGCACAAAGCTTCTATGATGTCTGAATTTCTGAATATTTGTTTCAGATAAATTGAATATGACAACCTCTCTATTCATACTAACTCATTCTCAAGGAAGAGACAGAAACATAAGTACATTTCACAGCATAGACCTATCTTTAGCTCTTGCTCAGGTCATGTGGAGAGACCTTTGGTCACAAGTGAAAAAATTCACTTCCTGGAAAATTCAATCCTAGGCCTGGCATCATCAGAGCCAAGCTAGTGAACTACAAAGGCACAGGCAGGAGGGAAGCAGGGTTCTGAGATCAGAGGAGCACAGCTTGGTAGCTCTTTCGTCTTCAGCAACTCTTTTAACAATAGAAGAGTTTCTACAAGTGAATTGTGTTTTTGCTTTCCAAGGCCTTTTTCACTGATCGTATTTTGAACTGAGTCACCCATAGTGGGGACAGAGTTGTTCTCATCCTTGTCTTGCAGGTGAAGGGTGTGGGTGTCAAATGCCGTGATTTTTGGTGTCACAGAAGGTGAGATGCAGGCATAAAGACAGGCCTCCCATGACCCCGTATGTGCATACAGGCACACAGAGTGTGGGGAAGTCCAGAGCCACACTGGGAAGTGTGGGGAAGGAAAAATCCATTGCAGTGAAGGAAGAAAAGGAGTTGCTCTTGAGAAGCAATGAGGTTAAAACTCAGAAACCCTGACAGGACACAAGGTGACGTCATGCTATGTTCCTTGTTACCTCAGAGACAGCATCTTAACACAAAGTTCTCCTTGTGACGAGAACAGATATGTGCCCTTCTCCCTTCTTTCCATATTAATTTTCATAATTGCAGAAGGCTGGGCAGCTGCCCTTCCCACTTAGGTCCCAGCTAACACAGACTTCATGACTGAAACTCTCAATCTGCCCCATTTGCTAGCATTGTAGCTGAAAACCCTGTAGCCTTCCATAAGTCCCCCAGAGCACTGTCTAGTAGCAGGTGGTGACTTATAAGCAAGACTTGGGCAACATTCAGTTTCTCTATTCCCTTTCTAAAAATCCCCAGTGCTGAGTTCAGACAATCTCCCCTTATTGGTGTCTAGCTGCACATCAGTTTGACTATGTTGGCTTGGTGGGGTACCACAGATCTACTCACACCAATGCCAAGGACAGCGGCCATAAGATCCATCTCCATCACTCTTCATCTCACATTCTATACTGAAACCAAAGACAGTCAGTTTGTGGCAAATTCATTGCCACCACCTGAGGACAGATTGAATGTCACTACCACCTGGCTGTGAAAGTATGTAGTCATGATACTGTAAAGATAAGACACTCAGGATTAACAAATGCCTCAACATGGAGAGTAACGAAATTGACAGAGTTGACACACCCAACCCTCATTGTGAGTGAAAAGGCCTAAGCAATTTCCCGTGTCAGGAAAGCATGTATTTAGTGACAGTTACTACTTGGTGGGCAGTTCATTCACTCATCCTCTTCAATATTCTCATTTTTCTGCTTTTTCTAATACTAGATACTGAACATGAGTGAGGTCTTATGGGTGCTAAGCAAGCAGCACAAAACTGAGTTCTATGCTAAACCATGTTCATTTAAGACAGGGACTGGTTACATAGCTCAAACTCGCCTTTAACTCTCTTCCTCTCTCTCCAGAACTCTAGGATTTTAGGCATGTACCAATCCGTAGGCAGGTTCCCAGAGGAGTAAATTTGTTGATTTCCTGTAGGGATTATGAGAATTTAGAAAACCAGTTACAAGCTTGGTGTCTGTGTCATAAGAGAGGGTCAGTAGAAATCCAGCTGAAGCCCCTTAAAGACCAGAAAGAGAAAGCCTGTAGAGTGAAGACTGTTGATCCACACTTCTTAAGCAATGGCTGTGCCTCTACATGGGGCCACGTAGCTGTGGGAGTCACCAAAACTCTGCCAACACTAAAAGGTTTCTGAATATATAATGACTAAAACGTAATTACAAATCAAGCATGTAATGGAATTCAAAGCGTTGTGGCAGCCCTCAACCAGATTTTTGTCACATGACCTCACATTGGTTCTCATCATGCATCAAGCTCACGATGCAAAGACAGAGCATACTGCCTGGACCACCCCGTTATGCTATGGGACCATTGTGTGTCATGAAGTAGAGTGAATGACTGTACACAGAAGGCATCCTGCCTTTATAGAAACATAACAATGTAATTATGGGATGTAAAACTTTCTACACTTTCCTATAATCATTCCTCAGTGTGCAAGTATCAGATACTTTATCTTTGGATATGTTGTGTTAGAACATTTGATCTTAAAAACTGATGTTTGACTTGCTGACTAGAGTTTTATAAAGAAAAAAAAAGTCATTCAATGAATTTTGGGTTGAAAATAGGACAGAATTTCCCACACTTTCTGAAATGGCTCTAAACAGGCTTCTGCCATTTTGTACTATGTATTTATGCAAAGAATTTTCTCAGCATTGATAATTATTAAATCAGAGTATCATTCAGTTCCCCAAAACACTAAATGCTCTCTAATTCCACACTGTAGCAAATATTTCAGAAAAAGTTTAGTTCCACACATAATATTAATAGAACACATCTATCTTACTAGTACACAAATTTTATTTCATTTTAAAAATAAAATCATGTATAGGAAGGAATTATGTTAAAATAAACTTCTTTATTATTTATTATGGACAAATGTTTGGTAGTGCACACATAGGAGTCTTAGTCATTGTCCTATTGCTGTGAAGAGACACCATGACCAAGGTAACTCTTATAAAAGAGAGAATTAATTGATAGCTTGTATAGAGTTTCAGAAGTTAATCCATTATCATCATGGTGGGGATCATGGTGGCAGACATGCAAGAACCATGCTTGAGGACTAGCTGAGGATTCTATGTCCCAGAGAGATAGAGGGAGGGAGGGAGGGAGGGAGAGAGAGAGAGAGAGAGAGAGAGAGAGAGAGAGAGACTGGGTTTGGCATAGGTTTTTGAAACCTCAAAGCCTATCCCTAGTGACACACTTCCTCCAACAAGGCCATACCTCCTTATCCTTCTAATCCTTTCAAATAGTGCCACTCCCTGGTGACTAAGCATTCAATTACCTTACCCTATGTGGGGGATTCTTATTTAAACCACCACACTAGGTGAGTGGGATTGGGAGTAGAAGCTGAAGACACCCTGCTCTGGGGAGGTACAGGCATGTGGCGACTGTTTCTCTCAAGAATCTTTCTCCATCATGGCAATTTGAGCATAGTCTAGGCTAGTTCTACAATGACATCCTGTAGTCTTAACTACCCTGCTTCTTAATCTTTTTTCAACTAATGTCTCCTACATTAAAATCTTGTTCAGGTGGCCTCTTGCCATCCTCTGAGGCCTTCCTAAAGCCCATATTCTTTGAGGGCTTCCTACTGGATTCTGCATGGAGATGAACTTTGTCTTATAAAC